GATCTGACTGTACCTGTGATCTGACTGTACCTGTGATCTGACTGTACCTGTGATCTGACTGTACCTGTGATCTGACTGTACCTGTGATCTGACTGTACCTGTGATCTGACTGTACCGGTGATCTGACTGAACCAGTGATCTGACTGTACCTGTGATCTGACTGTACCTGTGATCTGACTGTACCAGTGATCTGACTGTACCTGTGATCTGATTGTACTTGTGATCTGTAAAGATCTCCAGCTGTTCCTCCTGCCCTGTACCTGTGATCTGCCTGTACCTGTGATCTGCCCTGTACCTGTGATCTGACTGTACCTGTGACTGTACCTGTGATCTGACTGTACCTGTGACCTGACTGTACCTGTGACCTGACTGTACCTGTGATCTGACTGTACCTGTGATCTGACTGTACCTGTGATCTGACTGAACCAGTGATCTGACTGTACCAGTGATCTGACTGTACCTGTGACTGTACCTGTGATCTGACTGTACCTGTGATCTGACTGAACCAGTGATCTGACTGTACCAGTGATCTGACTGTACCTGTGACTGTACCTGTGATCTGACTGTACCTGTGATCTGACTGAACCTGTGATCTGACTGTACCTGTGATCTGACTGAACCAGTGATCTGACTGTACCTGTGATATGATTGTACCTGTGATCTGTAAAGATCTCCAGCTGTTCCTCCTGCCCTGTACCTGTGATCTGCCTGTACCTGTGATCTGTAAAGATCTCCAGCAGTTCCTCCTGCCCTGTACCTGTGATCTGACTGTACCTGTGATCTGCCCTGTACCTGTGATCTGACTGTACCTGTGATCTTTAAAGATCTCCAGCTGTTCCTCCTGCCCTGTACCTGTGATCTGTAAAGATCTCCAGCTGTTCCTCCTGCCCTGTACCTGTGATCTGACTGTACCTGTGATCTGCCCTGTACCTGTGATCTGACTGTACCTGTGACCTGACTGTACCTGTGATCTGACTGTACCTGTGATCTGACTGTACCTGTGATCTGACTGTACCTGTGATCTTACTGTACCTGTGATCTGACTGTACCTGTGACTGTACCTGTGATCTGACTGTACCTGTGATCTGACTGTACCTGTGACCTGACTGTACCTGTGATCTGACTGTACCTGTGATCTGACTGTACCTGTGACTGTACCTGTGATCTGACTGTACCTGTGATCTGACTGTACCTGTGACCTGACTGTACCTGTGACCTGACTGTACCAGTGATCTGACTGTACCAGTGATATGACTGTACCTGTGACTGTACCTTTGATCTGACTGTACCTGTGACCTGACTGTACCTGTGATCTGACTGAACCAGTGATCTGACTGTACCAGTGATATGACTGTACCTGTGACTGTACCTGTGATCTGACTGTACCTGTGATCTGACTGTACCTGTGACCTGACTGTACCTGTGATCTGACTGAACCAGTGATCTGACTGTACCAGTGATATGACTGTACCTGTGACTGTACCTGTGATCTGACTGTACCTGTGATCTGACTGTACCAGTGATCTGACTGTACCTGTGACTGTACCTTTGATCTGACTGTACCTGTGATCTGACTGTACCTGTGATCTGACTGTACCTGTGATCTGACTGTACCTGTGACTGTACCTGTGATCTGACTGTACCTGTGATCTGACTGAACCAGTGATCTGACTGTACCTGTGATATGACTGTACCTGTGATCTGACTGTACCTGTGATCTGACTGTACCTGTGATCTGACTGTACAAGTGATCTGACTGTACCTGTGATCTGACTGAACCAGTGATCTGACTGAACCAGTGATCTGACTGAACCAGTGATCTGACTGTACCTGTAATATGACTGTACCTGTGATCTGACTGTACCTGTGACTGTACCTGTGATCTGACTGTACCTGTGATCTGACTGAACCTGTGATCTGACTGAACCTGTGATCTGATTGTACCAGTGATCTGACTGAACCTGTGACTGTACCTGTGATCTGACTGTACCAGTGATCTGACTGTACCAGTGATCTGACTGTACCTGTGATCTACCCTGTACCTGTGATCTGACTGTACCTGTGATCTTTAAAGATCTCCAGCTGTTCCTCCTGCCCTGTACCTGTGATCTGCCTGTACCTGTGATCTGTAAAGATCTCCAGCAGTTCCTCCTGCCCTGTACCTGTGATCTGACTGTACCTGTGATCTTCCCTGTACCTGTGATCTTCCCTGTACCTGTGATCTGCCCTGTACCTGTGATCTGACTGTACCTGTGATCTGTAAAGATCTCCAGCTGTTCCTCCTGCCCTGTACCTGTGATCTGACTGTACCTGTGATCTGCCCTGTACCTGTGATCTGACTTTACCTGTGATCTGCATTATGGTCAGCTACATTACTGTCTGTTACATTGTGGGGGAAGGTGAGGGGTCTGAGAGGTCTGAGGGGTCTGAGGGGTCTGAGAGGTCTGAGAGGTCTTTGGGGCCTGAGGGGTCTGAGAGGTCTGAGGGGTCTGTGGGGCCTGAGGGGCCTGTGGGGCCTGAGGGGTCTGAGGGGTCTGAGGGGTCTGAGGGGCCTGAGGGGCCTGAGGGGCCTGAGGGGTCTGAGGGGTCTGAGGGGTCTGAGGGGTCTGAGGGGTCTTTGGGGCCTGAGGGGCCTGAGGGGTCTGAGAGGTCTGAGGGGCCTGTGGGGCCTGAGGGGTCTGAGGGGTCTGAGGGGCCTGAGGGGCCTGAGGGGCCTGTGGGGCCTGAGGGGTCTGAGGGGTCTGTGGGGCCTGAGGGGTCTGTGGGGCCTGAGGGGTCTGTGGGGCCTGAGGGGTCTGAGGGGCCTGAGGGGCCTGTGGGGCCTGAGGGGTCTGAGGGGTCTGAGGGGTCTGTGGGGTCTGTGGGGCCTGAGGGGTCTGTGGGGCCTGAGGGGTCTGTGGGGCCTGAGGGGTCTGAGGGGCCTGAGGGGTCTGAGGGGCCTGTGGGGCCTGAGGGGTCTGTGGGGCCTGAGGGGCCTGTGGGGCCCGACACGGGCCGGGCTCGGGCCCTTTTATTTATTCATTGTCAAAGCGGCAGATGACATTTACGAACACACTGAATAAAGTTCTATCACTCTGTATGATACTAACGACTTATTAAACGAGCGCCAGGTCTGTGTAAAAGACCAAAGTACAGACCAAAGTACAGACCAAAGTACAGACCAAGGTACAGACCAAGGTACAGACCAAGGTACAGACCAAGGTACAGACCAAGGTACAGACCGAGCCGTGGCCAGGTTAATAAATGTTTTATGATGTAACTATTTGTAAGTGATCCAAATATGGACGGGTTTGAAGTAAAAACACATTTGACCAAAGTGTCAAACTGTGACATGAAGAACAGAGGATTGAGGCGCCCGCTGTAAGTTCTCAGTCTGTGTCTTTACCAATGCTTTTTACATATTTGTGATGTTCATGTCCCACTTGGTTTTCCTGCTCCTGGTTTTACCTTTCTGGTCTGTAACCAAGTTGTCGATCTCTTCTTGACTGTTGGAGTTGTGTTTTGGTCGTTATTTGCTGTTATTACTTGCTCTGGCTCTTCCAACTCGTCCTGATGATAGAATTCACTGAGAATGCTCCCAGTCGTTCATTATTAAATAATATTATCATATAATAAACTACGCTACAACATTGTTATGGGAGGTAAAAACATAAAAAAATCAGGCTTGATACGGGTTTGGGTCTGAGAATTCTGAAAACCTGTCGGGCCGGGCGGGCCCAGATAATAGGCCCGTGCAGGGCTCTAGTCTGAGGTAGGACTGTGGTTAAAACATTCACAGTTAGAATCAGGATCAGGATAAAGAAGTTACAGACCTGAGCTTTAAGAAGTTACAGACCTGAGCTTTAACATTTATCAAAGTTTCAGTGTAAAACAGGACTCACCGCGACAGCAGAGACTCAGAAGAAGGACTCTGAGGGCCATGGTCAGAACCAGGTCTGAAGCAGGACTGGTCTGAAGCAGGACTGGTCTGAAGCAGGACTGGTCTGAAGCTGTATCTTTAGCGTGTGGTTATCTGCTGATCGTGGTTTCTCTCGTCACAGATGTGAGTTCATGTTTTTTCCGCTGTAACAAATGTCATCTCACTCCATCTGAGAAACTGTCACGACATCAGAACCTTCTTCAGCATTTTGTCACGGCATTCAGTTTGAGACAATATTTCTCTGAAGTTACTCTGTTACTCTGAAGTTACTCTGAAGTCACTCTGAAGTTAATCTGAAGTTACTCTGAAGTTAGTCTGAAGTCACTCTGAAGTCACTCTGAAGTTACTCTGAAGTTACTCTGAAGTCACTCTGAAGTTACTCTGAAGTTACTCTGAAGTTACTCTGAAGTCACTCTGAAGTTACTCTGAAGTTACTCTGAA